TACCCAACGATACGTAGACAGGTAATAAGTAAATATAGCATAACATGCATAAAAGCTTCTTTTTTTAAGTATCTAATAGGTTTTTTTTTTAGGGTTCAGAAGTTCAAATGTTCATCCATAGGAAGGAATTACTAACAATTTTTGGACTCGTACACATTAACAGTCTAGTAACAACATCATATGAGAGTTCAGGAAGAAGAAGAAAAACAACAGTTAATAAACATATCTCTGGTATAGATGGAATAACTTATACATATCCTTTGATGTTACAGTACGATTGCTTTATAATTTTTGCGCAAAGATAAACAAGGGCTATCTGCATATAGTTGTCTCTACTTTTGAATAGATTAACTAGAGAGAAGGAAGCGAGCTAGTCAACAGATCCATCTTGGGCCACTCTTGTCTGATTCATTCGTGGTCATTCTTATAGTGTAGCCACGATCGCTAACCGCCTTATCTTTTTGAGCTCTAAAATTACTTATATTCTGAGCTACATTGAACCACTCTCAATGTTAGATTGAAATCATACATATGTTCGAAGTATGTTATGAATTTTGTAGCTAGTATTCTTTAGAAGGTGTCACTTTTGTGCCCACATCTAAAATATCTGCCAAAATGATAGTTAACATTTATGCCTGATTTGTGGGCGAAGTAGTTTTGTAGCGCTCCTTTCTAAACACCTTCCTAAGTCTGTAGTTAATGTTATTTAAAAGAGGCGGCGTGTTTCAAAGCATCTGCACCAAATGATAGCGAAGTCGTTTAGCTTCTCTGTAGGTGGCGCTACTTTGTAGTTCCCATTTTCATATACTTTTTTCTATTGTTGTTTGTTAGTTGCTAAATACAAAGCTACACAATAAGCTGTCTTATCTCTGCCCTCCACTGATATCGAAACCCGATTTTTAGCGTTATAAGCCCTTAGACTGATGGCTGAGCCACCTGGGGGCACCATAATCCTAAACAAGGTCGTAATAAATTGTTTAAGCTGGCCTTCTCGATAAACATTCGAGGAAACTAAGTGGACTTGTTAACGATAACTATAAACACCTTACTTTGTCACTGGCTATAGATATCAAGGTATTTTCATAAATGTGTTGTTCACAAACGGAGAGAAAATGATATCTTTCGTAGGTAACAAACCAATAAATACGTGGGCTAACACGTAATAGGTCCAGTGTATTGTTTACTGTAATGACACACAACAATATAATTTCCTAACAGTTTAAGCAGTTGCAATTTGCACTATAAACATAGGAATGTCGAGATAGAACAGGCTGTATAATTCATAAATTATATTCAATATAAAGCGAAAACTAAATTAAAAAATAACCAACATGATTTATATTCTGCTTTATTTCTATGTACAATATTTAACTTTGATTTAAAAAAATCTAAGTTTGGACAAATTTTAGCTTAGGGAAAAACAAAACTTGTAGATCGAAATAACCAAGTAACAAAAATGCTTGTATAGAAAACATTAAGAAATAATTGCTAATATACTAATGTCGATATCTTACATCTTCGGTTTCCATAATGTTACAGCACTGTCCAATCGAAGTCACTGCCTGGTTCGAGTTTATTCTCAATGTCTCTTCTGTTGAGGGTATGGAATACGACACACAGTAACCTCTGCAAGCATTTGTAGTAATATCAAACTCCACGCAGTCAGGGATGCTGATATGACGGGTATGTCCTGCAAGTAAGAAAATACTGAATATATCTAAGCAGACAGAATCACCATTCAAAATGTCGCATCTCTAGTAAGTAGCCATAAACAAACATTGATTTGTTACTTTACATGACTGAATTACAAAATCAACCAATCGAAATATATCTACTATATGTACTTCCGCAGGGTCCCCCAAAAGTGTTCTGTTTCAAGAGTAAATAAAATCAAAATTAAGAGTTATAAATATTTTTATTTCTTGCATTTGAAATTCATACGTTATGCTGTGTTGTAGCCTACAGGGTGCATAAATCTTCTCGTGATTAATGGAATGTACAAGTTTTACTGACGTTACGACAGTGCAAATTGCAACGTTAAGCGTCCCTTATGTGACGTTATTTTAGTGTCTACTGGCTGACTGACAGACAACACACTACTGTATAGTGGTGCAAATGGTTAAAGCAGGTGACACCTCCAGGCGGCCTTCGGCCCACTTTCGGGAAATTATGTTATAAGTTTAAAAAGGTTGGTTACCAGCAAAAGAGTGGACAACTGTAGGAAACGACATTTAATTGATATATATATATATACACTT